CAGAATAGTAAAGCTTTGTCTACCACTAAGCATTATAAAAGATTATAACTTATCATTATTAAAGATTCAGGTCCCTAAGCTCAGGATTCCTTTCCTGTAGGCCACCCGCAGCTTGGGCCAGTGCCCATGGATGCCCTGTGTCTCGCCCTGTGGAAAGTGGGACTCAGGGAGCAAAGATAATGTTGATAGTCACTGGCTGTGCTACTACCCTCTGTAATAAGTCCTTTGTCTGACCCCTTTGTCTAAGTTTCTTAGATGGCATGTACGACAAGCTCTTAGAACCTCAAAATTTCTTGATATAGGCTTTAAATGAATTATATTAAAAACAAAGGTAATACGTATACAAAATTCATCTCTTCTTAGTATATTGTATGATTACCTATGCTTTTGAAGTTACTTGCACCTACTGTAAGGGTGGAAACACTCCACAATATTATGGTTCTCAGCACCCTTTCCCAACCCTGTCAGTGTTCACTAGCTTTGTGCTGGAAATCTGCTAGGAGTGCTGTATATATTTTTACCTATCTACATTTAATCAAATATTGCCAATTTGCCATTCATTTACAAAACAATAAAATTGTAAAACTTCATCCCTCAACATGTGCATATGCTTCACCGGCCCTCCAGCAAAGCTACAAGGGTTGCATTTATACCAGGAGACTTGCCCTTCCCACCAAAGGCCCCTTGAGGAACAGCTACCATCTCATCACTGTCTAAATTCCATGAAGCCTCCCCACAGTGTTTCTCAGATCTCCATATTCTGAGGAGTTTGTTAAGATGCAAGCTCCACATTGAACATCTAGAGATTAAAACAAAACAAGACAAAACTGATCTTCAATCCAATATCACACCTTATGCAAAAATCAATTCAAAATGGATTATAGAGTCCATGTAAAATATTAAACTGTAACACTATTAGGAAAAATGCAGGAGAAAATCTTTAGGATCTGTCTAGGCAAAAAATAATCTATAAGAGTAAAAAGTGAAATTCTGAACTATGAAAGGCCCTGTGAAGAGGATCAGACAATAATGTGCAGAAGGTTGGGGATGGGGGTGGGGGGTTTGGAAGATTTGCAAACCACATAGCTGACAAATGACTAGTATTTAAAATATATATTTAAAACTCAAAGTTCAGTAGTAAAGAAGCAAGCAATCCAGTTATACCAGGAGAAAGACATGAAGAGACATTTCACTGAAGACAATATGCAGATGGTAAACAAGCACATAAAATGATGCTGAAGATCGTTGGTTATTAGATAAATGCAAATTAAAACCACAACACCTATCAAAATGGCTAAAATCCAAAATAATGGGAAAGAGGGCCTCCCTGGTGGCACAGGGGTTAAAAACAGCGTTATCAAGCTATTGCCAGCCACTGCAGCACGAACACGATCCCTGGCTGGCCAGGGAGTAACACATATGGCGCAGTAGACCTCTCCTGCTTTGCCCACTGCTGTCCTCACCAGTGTATTTCAGTAGATCTGCCTGTTCTGCTCCTCACTCTCTCTGGTGAATCCTCTCAAACCCCCCCTACCCCAGCACTGCTGGCCTACACCTCAGTTCTTGTATGCATAAATAAATAAATCTTTTTAAAAAATAAAAATAAAAATAATGGCAAAGAGGCAGAAAACTGGATTATTACTTAGGTTGCTGGTGGAGATGTAAGATGATATGGTCCCGCTGGAAAACAGTTGGTCATTTGTTGTTGTTTTTTTAAGTAAGCATCAAAGTTGTGTCCCCAGAAAACCTGAGCACCAGTGTTTCTAGCGACTGTATTTATAATAGCCCCAAACTGAAAAGAGTGCAGACCTCCTTCCGGGAGTGCCTGGTTAAACAAACTGTGGTACATCAGGGCTTGAAAACTCAGCAAGAACAGGGAACCAACCCTTGATAGTGGCTACTACTAGATGAAGACCTGTAAATCCATATATGTTTATCCCTTTGGTCCAATACTCTCACCTTGAAGAAGAGGTATATGAGATACAGAAAATCTAGTTATTTCTTTTTTTTTTTAAGGATTTATTTATTTACAAAAGAACTGGGGTACAGGCCAGATGTGCGGGAGGGTGAGAGGATTCACAAGAGACAGAGTGGGGAACAGAATAGGCAGACAGACGAAATGCACTGCTGAGGGGAGCAGCGAGCACAACAGGAGAGGTCTGCCGCGCCATGTGGGATTCTCCCTGGCCGGCCGGGATCGAACCTGCACTGCAGAGGCTGAGGACAGTTTCACAGCATGGCGCTCAACTGCCTGTGCCACCAGGGGAGGCCCAGAAAATCTAGTTATTTCAATGAATAATCATGAGTACCCATCAGTTGTGGGTTCTGTTCTGGACACTGGGGTTTAAGCAGAAAACAAAAGGGACCCTGCCACTGGGGTGGGACTGCCTTCTGCTGGAGAGTAAACCAGTAGATAGTAAGTGTGGTGGATGCTCCTCACTGCTCTGCAGAGAAGAGAAAGAAGGGGAGAGAATGAGGCTGCTAAAGGTTGAGTGACAGCTCTAAGCAGGTGTTAAGAAAAGGGGTTACTGTAAGGTGATATGTGAGTAAAGGTCTTTGAGAGGAGATGAGAATATCTGAAGGTGTTGCAGGGGGAGGTGGGGACACTTCAGGCAGAGGGAGGAACAAACATAAAGGCCTAACACAGCCACTTGCCTGGCCTGCTGCAGAAACAGCCAGGAGGCCGAGCAGCTAGGGCGATAACCAGCAGGCCCATAATGCGTGGTCTCGTGGACCCTGGACCTTGGTTTTTACCTGGAACTGAGTGTCTTGAACAAAGGTTTTATCATCTGTTGATAGATGATGTCCTTGCAAACAAGACGTAAACCCAGACTCCAGCCCCCAGAACCCCTAAGAGGTGCAGGTGGGGTGTGCCAAGTCTGCCAAAGTAGGTTTCATAGTGATTAACAAAATAAAGGCAGTGGGAGTACGAAGCCGCTCTCCAGAGAAGTCACGTCCTTGAAGGAAGTTACAGTAAATTATAGATAAGAAAGAACCCCGCAGAGCAAAGTAGGGAGGTTTTCCTGCTCCTTTCTCTGCTCTGCCAGGCTTTGCTCTGACAGGGTGACAGGGAAATCTTGGCAGCACAGGGGAGACACCCTCCCCACCCACCTCGCCCCAGGTTCACACTCTCTGAAGGCATTACAGACAGCATCTCCTTTCAACTCATGGAAATCTCACAGCCACCCTCGGAGCTGGGTGCTCTGCTTTTGGTTACATTTTAAGTCAACACCCAGAAATAAAATTCCCTTCCACTTCACACTTTTTCCATTTAACGCCAAACAGACCCTCTCCAAATGGATTCATTTTAAGACACATTCTCAATGCCAGAAATGTTTAGAAGTGAATGATAGAATAGAGAAAATTCTGAATTATCACTTGTACGTGATTTAAGATGAGAGATTTGAACCAATCCCAAAGAATGGGTCCTTTGTTCTCTAGGGAAAGGTTCATCAGAGAGCACTAGGTGTAGTTGAACCAGGCAAGGTTCTTCTGGAGCGCGTCCTCGTACATGAGGGAGCCAGTTCCAGAAAGGAGAATTTTTTTTTTAAGATTTATTTATTTATGCATACAAGAGTTGGGGTACAGGCCAGAGGTATGGGGTGGGGGTGAGAGGATTCACCAGAGACAGAGTGGGGAACAGAACAGGCAGACTGACTGAAATACACTGCTGAGGGGAGCAGCAGGCAAGACAGGAGAGGTCTGCTGCGCCATGTGGGGTGCTCCCAGGCTGGCTGGGGATCGAATTCGTGCTGCCGAGGCTGAGGCTGCGGATTTCTTCATAGTGCAGTGCTTAACCCCTTGTGCCACCAGGGAGGCCCCAGAAAGGAGAATTTAATGTGTCTCTCCAGTGGAGGTAGGAATTGATATTTGAAGGATAGTTTCGGAGACCTACCCTTGGTCTGGGTTGGGTCACACTGGGCATGTGCAGACAAGTTCTACTTCAACTACATCTCGACTCTTGCCTTCTCCCTCCAGGAAACTGAGATAATTGTTAACCAAGATCTAGGCTTTTTGTCTACCATGGCATCCCACGGATAATGGGGTAGCCAAATTGTTTGGACAGGGCACTTCAGTTCGTGATTCTGTCCACCTGTTCCAATAGGACTTAAGGCAACTCTTCCTACCAGTTTGCCTTTTCTTTTTTTTAAAAAAAAAAAGATTTATTTATTTATGTATACAAGAGCTGGGGTACAGGCCAGAGGTGCAGGGGGCGGGGTGAGAGGATTCACCAGAGACAGAGTGGGGAACAGAACAGGCAGACTGACTGAAATACACTGCTGAGGGGAGCAGTAGGCAAGACAGGAGAGGTCTGTTGCGCCATGTGGGTAGCTCCCTGGCCAGGGATCGAACTCATGCTGCAGTGGCTCCAGATAGCTTCATAAGCTGTGTCTTAACCCCTTGCGCCACCAGGGAGGCCCCATGCTGCAACATTTTAATCACTCCCTTACACAAATGGCCTGCTCTCCTTGCTGTTGCTTTCCCATCTTCCTTCCCTGGCAGAACTTGAATCTGGTCACTGCCAGTCTCTTTTTTCTATTCACTCTCCCCCAGCTGAATGTTCAAGACAGCACAGAGTTGAGCCAGTTGTTCTCACTTTAAATTCATGTCTACACGTGTCAAATGGCACAAAAGGTAACCTATTCCTACTAGGTCCCCACCCAAAGCCCCTGCACCTTAGTGAAAAGTTGGGAACCAACAGCCAAGATTTCAGAGCCGAGGACTGGAGGGGAGATCAGCAGGGAATGACATCGGAGAAGTGACAGCGGTGTAGTCTTGTAGCCCTTAGGACATTGTAAGGACTTGGCTTTTGTGTTGAGTGTGATGGAGAACTATTGGAAGGTTTTCTGCAGATAAATAACCTATGTTGACTTAGATGGGGGAGCAGGTTCAGTGGATGGGAGGGGGAGTCGACTTGTTAAGTCATAGATGACTAGTAGGCAAGCTCAGTGAGTCTCAGAGGGTTAGCCTAACAAACGAACACAAACTTGGTGACTTACCACAAAAATGAATATTCTTACAGTTCTGGAAGCCAGAAGTCTGAACTCTAAGTGTGTCAGTCAGAAAGTTCTAGAAGAGAATCTGTTCTTTGTCGTTTCTAACTTTGGGGAGGAAAAAGGACAGGGATATTCAAAGAGATTAATGGTATTAACTCATTTTCTGTGCTCGGCACTCACCTGGGCTCTGAGATAGTGAACCAAAGAAAATATTCTGCCCTCACAGAACTTACATTTTTTTTTAAGATTTATTTATTTATGCATACAAGAGCTGTGGAGTAGGCCAGAGGTGCTGGAGGTTGAGAGGATTCACCAGAGACAGAGTGGGGAGCAGAACAGGCAGATTGACTGAAATACACTGTTTGAAGGAGCAGTGGGCAAAACAGGAGAGGTCTGCTGCACCATGTAGGTCAGCTCCCTGGCCGGGGATCAAACTCATGCTGCAGTGGCTGCCAATAGCTTCTTAGTACTGAGACTTAACCCTTGCACCATCAGGGAGGCCACAGACCTTATATTCTTAATAAGAGACAGAGTATAAAGATTGAAAAAGTCAAATACATAGTCTATTCCATGATGATTAATGAAAGGAGGGACAAAAGTATTAGGAGAAAAAAAGCAGTGGAGAGAGATTGAGGAGTCGATAATTGGGAATTGAAGCTATAATTGGTAGCTAAGAAAGGTTTGCTGAGACGGTGACATTGAGTAAAGACTTGAAGGATATTGGAGAGCTGACCAGCTATCTGGAGGTGAGAAGAACAGCAAGTGCAAAGGTCCTGAGGTAGGATCATGCCTGGGTGGAGAAAAAGCCAAGTGGCTAGTGTAGTAGGGATACTTGGAGAGAGTGTGGCTGTAAGGGGAGACGTGGTCTAAGAGGAATATAGAGGGCCCACAGAATGTGTGGGGCCTGCAGATAGAGGAAGTAATTGGCCTCGACTGAAGGATTTTGAACCGGGAAGAAAGCTGAATTCACTTCAATGCATCATTCCAACTGCTGTGTGGAGGGCTTAGTGGCGGGGCTTGGGCTGATGTAAGGAGACTGGTTAGAAAGCTTTTGCCATCATCCAGCTGACAGTTAGTGGCAACTTGGACCAGAACATGAGAGCGGGTGTGGTCTCAGAAACCCTAATGGCCAGTGCATCCTCAATAGAAGGGACAAGGAGCAGTCAGAGGGCAAGACAGTGTTGTGGGAACTTGTGACATTCCTCTGATTTTTTTCACTTCCTTAGTGAAGAAGGAAGCAAGTGGAAGATGAGTTGGGGGAAGAAGTCTGTGACCCTTGCAAGGAGAGGCGAAGGTGTAAGCAGTCATTTAGGAGAGAGGGGGAATGCGAGGACCTGGAGCTAGGGCCTGGGCGTCACGCTCACCTTCAGGGTGAACCACGGCGGACGGCTGGTCCTGTCCTCAGAGTTGCTTGCCCAGTAGGTCTGGGTGAGGCCTGAGGATTGTCATTTCTGTCAAGTTTCCAAGTGATGCTGCTGCTGCTTGGTAAGGGCCCATCTCTGAGCAACACCAGGCAAGTGCAATGTAGTTGGCTTGCTGGGTGAAATGGAAGGCACCCTTGCTGCCTGGAGCCTGGCACAGAACTGGCAGCCTTTGACCTGCATTGAAGTTTAGCCCAGTGAATCCTGCAAATCATGAGAAAGGTAATTGGGTAGTGGGAGATGCAATGGAGTGTTTCCACTGATTGAGCTTGGAATTGAATCTGGACAAGGTGAGGAGAGAGAGGTGAAGCAGTGACAGGTGGTGGGGTTTTGGACTTCAAGGATTATTGGATTCTGGGACCCAGAGGGAGTGAAATGGACATAAGGTTATGACTGAGGGGGAGATGGAAACAGGGAGCTTCTGAGGTGACGTGAGGACCGGTTCATTGGAGTGTGGGAGGTCCAGGAAGAAGATGCCAGAACCTTGGAAGGTACCTCTGTTTGTTTGGATAATGAAAACAAAGAATTAAAGCAGGAGCCAGTTAGAGTGAAGTGAAATTCCAAGCTGCACCCAGGAGCATGGGGGAATTGCACTTTGAGGTCTGGAGATTCAAAGCCAGGAGGTTTCAAAGGGACCAGGACAGAGAAAGTTCTGGCCCTGAGCAGGGGGAGCAAGGAGGAGCCCACTCCACCTCCTGGCCCAGGGAGCAGAGGCAGGCAGCCACCACCATCTGAGGGAGACACTGGAGAAGTAGGGTCTGTTCCAGATGTGGTTTCCCACCTCCTGCAAGTTATCAACCCATGGGAGTTTTGAGACCCTACCACGGCCTATATCCCACAAGATGAGATTTTTAAATAGCCTGACAAGGAACCCGGACCTCAGTGTGTTTTTAAGTCTTTGGGTGATCAGAATGTACAGCCTGAGGGTGAGAACCGGAAGGATAAGGGGGTGGATGCCAAGAGGAGCTAAGGATGCAAGAGACTTTGCACTTGTTTGGCCCAGGGCCCAAGGGAAAGAACATGAAGTTTCAGGAGATGGGCTCAGATGACAGATAGGGGAGGACGGAGAGATGGAGGCTTCAAGTCTGGGGGAGGCATGGGCTGAAGAGTCAGGCTTCAAGTGCCTGACGTCAGCTCTTGGTAGATGGTGAGGGGAGGCTGTGAGTTTAGGGGGAATGGACTCTTGCCTGCAGCAGAGAAGGTGATGGGTGCCCCCCTCTCTACCCAGTGGTCGTGGTGGTGGTGGTAGCAGCAGCAACAGTGGCCTGGAAGGAACCCCCTCAGCTACTTGTTTCCATCCCCATACCTGATCCCTCAGCAAGTCAGTGGACTCTGCTTAGGCCTAAAATTGTGGAGCCAGATGGACCTGGTCCAGATCTTCATTATGGGTGACCTTAGACAGTTAATAATTCTGTGCCTCAGTTTCCCTGTTTCAAATGGCACTAAGGATAGTACCCACCAGGGTTATGTTATTATTAAGCGCATTTATGGAGACTGTCTGGCACATAGTAGATGCTGTTTGTTTAGAATTATCCTTTATAACACATATCCCAGTCTACTTTTCTCTATCCCCGTCCAAGCCACCATTATCACCCACCGCAATGGCTGGGGTCCTATCTCCACTGCCCCTCTAATCCACATTCCTACTGGTACCAGGGAGATATTTTGAAACTACATATTAAGCTATTAATTCTTTTGCTTAAAATCTTCTCCTGACCTCTCATCCCTGGCATATAAAAGAAAAAATCAAATTGCTGCATCTGAATTTCAGCCCCCCTCGTCATCTGTTTCCTCTCCACCTTGTTTCTTCACCTAAACCCCAGCTTTCCTGACTGTCCTCTTCTTCAACATGTCTGGCCCACTCCAGCTTTGCACCACCAGCTTTTTCCTCTCTCCAGATTGTTCTTTCCCCTGGTGGCGCATGGAGAGTCTACTTGACCCTTAGTGTCAACCAAGGCCTCAGATGACCCAGTATTATGTGGCTTCTGTTCTATTTTAATTTGCTTATGCCTATTTTAATTCTTTCCATGGGATTGACAACCCTCTTGTGTTTCCTTGGTTTTGTTTGTTTGAGTCTGTTCTGTCTTGACTTTCCCCTAAAGCAGACTGAGACCGAGATGCAGGTGCAGATAGTTTTAATTTGCTTTGTTTTTTAAAGATTTATTTGTATTAATTTATGCATACAAGAATTGGGGTGTAAGCCAGAGGAGCAGGGGTGGGAGGATTCACCAGAGACAGAGTGGGGAGCAGAACAGGCAGATCTACTGAAGTACACTGCTGAGGGGAGCAGCGGGCGAGACAGCAGAGGTCTGCTGCGCCATGTGGGTTAGCTCCCTGGTTGGGGATTGAACGCATGCTGCAGTGGCTAGAGATAGCTTGCTAGCCCTGAGAGTGTAACCCCTGTGCCACCAGGGAGGCCCAACAGAGGGTTTTTTTGGGGGGAAGATATTGCCAGAAGGTAAGATGAGGATGTAGAGACAGTAAGGAGGGAGGGTCAAAGTCAGTGTGAGGGTGTTACCAGCACTGCTACTGTATCAAAGTGACCCTATCCCACCAGGTCCTCTGGGGAGCACATGGAATATCTCCAAGAGGTCCTGCCAAAAGCTAGGGGCCATCTTGCTTTGATTGAGATCTGCCTGGAGGGCATTAATTCCCTGACCTCCAAGTGTGCTTGCTTGGGGATCTCATTAGTTCCAGCTGCAGTGGAGGTGCTGGTAGCTAGGGGGCAGGATAAATACATTTCCTAACACTTCACAAGGTGGGCATAGGGGCAGGGGTGTCTGCTGCCTGGCCATTCTCCTCCCCACCCCTACCCCCATCATGGGAGCCTTTAATGAGTGGAGGCTTTGTGGCTTCCGTTCACAGATATACCCCAAGAGCCTGACAGAGAGTAGGAATCAATAATTATTACTTTATCCTTTCTTCTATCCAGGAGGAGGTACTGATAGCCACATTTGTAGATGAGGAAATTAAGTAAGTTGAGCTTACTGGGATCGCCCATCTCGGTGGCGGTCCAGCTGAAAAACCCAGGTAAACTGACTTTGGACCCCAAGCTTCCAGCTGAAAAGCTCACCTCATCAATAGCTCCAGTGATGGGGAAACCTGATCATCAAATTGGCAGTCTATAGTTACTTTTGTAGAGATCGCCTCGCTTCTATGGAGTAACTGGCTTTCAAGAGTGCAGGATGATTTAGAGGATGAATAACAATGAAAAAACACAACAGCATGCCAAGGTTTCAGAGGGCAAGATAATCATTTGCTGGGGCAGGTTTGATACAGGAGCCTGTGGAAAGGTTTCTGGCTGTACCTGGAGAGTACCTCCCTGTTTAAGGGGGCAGCTGCTGTTGAGCCTTATAGCCGGGTCTGCAAACCTTTTCTGCAAAAGGTCCAATAGTAAACAGGCTTTGTGAATCCTGCAATTGCTGTAGCAGCTATTCCCCTCCACCATTGTAACTAGAAAGTAGCCACAGAGAATAAGGGAACAAGTGGGAATGGCTGTGTGCCAATAATACTTTATTTATAAAAATAGGCACCAAGCCAAGTGTGGCCCATGGGCCATATGTAATTGGCTTACCCTGCCTTATAGACTGTAGTCCAGATCT